CTTCTTGCTTCAATTTCTCTATGCTTCTATTCCAGGGAAGAAAAACCAAGTCCCCTAGTTTTGGAGAGCTGGTTTTGGGAGTGGGGGGAAGATGTGTGTAATATGAATAAATATGGTAATTCAGGGCAGCCCTATGATCTATGCTGCTCAACAGGTCAGATTGTAATGGTTCCTTGTGGCTTTATGAGCCATAAAAGGGACCAGAGTCACCTCCAAGAGTAGTCAGATGATAATTATGATTGGTGACTAGAGAATTCAAACTGCATTTGGTAAATGAACCATGGAGGCATAAGGATCCCTGACTCTCAGACTGATGTGTGCCAAACATCGTGCTACAGCCCTAGATGCTTGGCTCCTGGATGATGCAGTAATCTTGTTGTGATGATGTGTGTGTGCTCTGACACCATTTTACAGTAACGTGTGCTTGCACAGCAAAGGAAAGGGAGAGTTGTTAATCATTAATACAAGTGACATTGTAGTTTATGTTCAGATGCATCACGTATTATAAAATACCTAATCTAATCTCAGGATAATGAAGAAAGACAAATAGCATTATTCTGCTACAGGCATGGTTTATAGAACGATGATCTAGGATTCACAATGAACTTGAGTGTCTTAATAAGAAACATCCCTGTTCCCTGCCACTCCCCACTCAGCCTCAGCACTCTTCCAAGTACCTACCTGCTTGCAAAACATTGGGGACAGCTCAACCCTGCCCTTATTTAACTGCTGATGATAGGAATGTATGTACAAGAACCAAGGAACCAGGCGTTCAGCAGCTGTGAAGTGGTAGAGCTCCATGAACTTCAAAGAGTTATACTCAACAATTAGATGGGTATACAAGAAAGCTGAATTTGGCCCATACACTATACATTAAAAGTGGAAATATTCAACTTGCCCTGAAAAGTAAGTGAGGAGCTGTTGCCATGATTCACCTAGGAATGTCTTGAGTGTCTTGAGTGGAGAATTGGGAGGAAAGAGCCCCATACGAACCTAGCTTCTTGACTTTGGGGAGTTTCTCAGGCCAATGCCAGCTTTCAGGATTTGAAGCAACAGTCCAGTTCTGCTGCTGGACCATGGGAGAGGCTGCTCTAAACAAGGAAGTGATATTGAACCGAATAGCAGAAAGGGGAGAGAGGGAGAGAGGAGACCTGGCCATGCAAAGTGCAGCTCTGGAGTTCCTTGGTCTTGTTTTTTAAGATGTAAGGCTATACTGTTCATTTATCAATAATCATTTTAATCTCCTTGATGCCAATTATTTCCCCAAAGTAACAGAAAGTAAGCAAGATGGGAGTGGGAAGGGAGGGGGGAATTCAGAGGGAATAAGGTAGGAGTCAGCCATTCACTTTGGGCTTGTCTACGTGTTGCTGTATGGCAATGTGCTACGGCGCTGTGCTTTAGTACTTCCTTTTGGAGGAAGTACTAAAGCATAGCGCAATATGGGTGGTTACTGCACCATGCGTGCGGTGCATGGGTTGATTTTGCTGCTGTCACTGTAGCAGCATGCTGTACCAAGGGATTGGGCAACCTACAATAATACAACTGGCAGTCACGTATAGACCCACATGATCGCTACGTGGCTGTAACATGCCACACAGCAACATAGCATGTAGCTACATCACTGGAGGGCAATGTGTAGATGCGCCCTTTCTCCTGCAGGTAGGTATGGGATTGGTGTCCCTGCTACTGAGTTGTTCTACAGCCAGGGTCATTGCACATCACCAATTGCTTGTCTCATTTTTTCCATCAGTAAAACAGACACTTACCAGACATGTCAAAGGGGGATTCCATAACTGCACTAAACAAGGCTTCTTTTGGGTGTTGAGGCTTCATCAGTCCAGGTTTGCCTGGTGCTTCAATGTCCAGATTTAACAGGCACTAAGGACCTGCCAGCTATTCATATTTCAGGAAGCAAAGTCGGTGTGATCCTCCTGAATCCAGTGATGAAAACACACCTGAAAAGAAGATGGAGCTTTTTCGTTAGTGGGAGCTCAATAGAAAATGATCAGTATCAACTGTTATATTTAAGGAATCTCATTCAACCAGGGTGTTTTTGGAGCACTTCCCCAGCAAAAAGGCAGCAGACGGGCAGAGGGATCCCTCTTGTGGTAAAGTAGCTGAATACACAGGCAGAGTCAATTCAACCAGAGTATGATATTCTGGTCCATTTCTAAAAAGAGAATAACTGGAAAACTTTTCCATTTGTGTTTTCAAATCATTATTTTATTGGCAATTTCTGGAATGCAAGAAACAACCCGTATGCTAGCCCCTGATTTACCTCAGAAACTGGGTATTAGCACTGTCCATTTAAATGATCTTGTATTAAACTGAGGTTTTAGGAAGCCATATTCACAATTGGGGAAGGTGTTGAAGATATGCATGCATGGACTAATGGGGTAGTGATCTCAGTTTGGGCCCCTGAGAAGTAATGAAATGCAAATAATAATAATATCAATAAACCTTTGAGAGCAGGGGCACACTATGGATACCAGCAGATTCAGATGTGAACATAGCTGCTGATATTTTAACCCCGTGGAGGCTGCTGCATGTGCACTTCAGCCATGAATGGGATGTATGCTGTACTGGACAAGTGCGTTCCCCTGCTGACCCGGTGGAGCCAGGGTCGAATTCTGTATTGGGGACAGATCCTCCCGCTCCCCTCCCTTGTTCCTGACAGACACCCCCAGCAACTCTGCTCCCGATATGAACTCCTCCCTTTGGCTTGGTGCTCTGCCACCTCCCTGGCCTCCAACCCAGCTCCTGTCTTCCCTTCACCAGCTGCGCACCAGGTAATGAGAGCCTCCATATCCCCAGCATTGTGCTTTCCTATTTCTCTCCCTTTTCCCTTCTTGCTTTCTTCCTTCCCTTATTTGCTGCCCCATAAGAGTATGTGTGCCTGGGAGAAAGATGAGTGGAGCAGTATATGTACTAGAAACAGGCAGGCAGACCAACAGGCAGCTGGGCAGGTGTCTCCCTTATGCCCTGCTCTTTCCCACTAAACAAAAAAATCCATAAAAAAGCTTCATCAGGTGCATTTGCTTGTACTTGGTATCCCTGTCCCAAGCCCTTCAGAGAACAGCCTCTCTTTTGTGTTTGTACAGTGTCCAGAGCAATGGGCACTTTCAACTTTCCCCTAATACAAACATTTACTACTAATAAAATAGTAATAAATATGGGTGTGAGTGAGAGAGGAGGGATGGGTGGGAAATACATATGTATGTAGGAGGGGTGGGAAGAGCATGCACCTTTCTGGGGAAGAAGAGGACTGGGAGCATAAGATGAGAAAAAGGGAAGGGGTGGGTGTGAGTCTGTGTGTGTGGATGGCTGGGCTCAGTCACAGAAAGAAATGGAGGGGGGGCAGCCTGAATTTCTTTATAACTTGCTAGGAAAGGCTGTTGCATGTGAGCCCTGTTTTGGTCTCCTCGCAGCTCCCTGCCTCTCCCTGCTCCTGTCTGACCATTTATGACACAGGTTCCCAACCACCAGGCCATGGTTCAGTACTGGGCCACAAAGGGTTGGCTGCTGGGTCGTGGCATAAGCCCCCCATCTGTCTGCTTGGGAGAGCAGCTTCCACCGCCGACAGTCACATGCGGGGTTAAAGCTCCATGCAGCAGGCACTGGGGCTCACACTGGGCTGGGCAGGACCCCCAGCTGGGCAGGAGTGGGGGATGCAGGTGGGGAAATGCCCAGGGCAGAGAGGCAGCTCTGCTGCTTGCTCCTAGGGTAGGCAGCAGAGCCCCTTCTTCCGGGGCAGCCCCAGCTGGGTCCTCCCCCAGGCCACTGCCTCTGCAGCCCCCTCCCCTGCAGGAACTCCCATGCCCTCAGCTGTGGTGCCCCAACCTGCATCCAGGTATAAATGTAAAGATTTACAAATTTACATATTTAAATATTTACACATTTAAATATGTAAATTGGATGGTTTCAATACCTGGTCGACCAAAATTCTTTGAGTGAGCTTGCCAGTCCACAGGATAAAAAAGTTTGGGAACCGCTGACTTTGGGTCTGCACAAGAGAGAATTTCACCAGCACCACTTCTAAAGGTCTCCCTGTCTTTAAAAGCTCCTGATGCCTATCAGGAATCAGAACTCATGGTAGAGGTGATAGCTTTTATTAGACCACGTAGATTGTTGCAAAAAAAATCTTTATCTATCAGCTTTCTCTCACCTCTGTGTACCCTGGTGCCTGCCTAGCTTTGGCTCCCAGCCCAGGCAAGTTAGGCAGCAACCAGGTATGATTATGGAGAGCAGCAATACTGCCTGTTAGACTGCAGGTGCCAGTGTTTGACAAGTTGATGGTCATTAGTCCTGTCTCTCAGCCTCCCCAGGGCCTACCTGTGAGATACTTGGCCTTGGCTGCTGCACAGGGCTCCACAGAAAATTCAGCGCATGTTCTCTGTATCCTCTACTCAGGTCAGCAGAAATTGTTGATGATGAGCACTTCGCAGGATCAAGCCTCTGACATCCATTCTTAAGGCTGCTGCAATGAGCTAGCATGATTGTACCCTCCCTCAGCCTATCCATTCTTCCAGACTGTATTTCTTTGGGTGAAACTAGTTTCAAAAACAGTCTAATAATGTTGATGAGAACTGAGTCAGTCTTTACCTGAACCTGATAGCCCCGCACTAGAGGCTGTAGGAAGAGAATGCACAGGGAACTAGATTGCTAGCAGACAGGTATGCAGTGACGCTTAGACCCACGAGTTCAGAGCAACTTGAGAATTTGCAGTTGTGTTCCTTGCAAGCACTCCCTGATCACAGTGAAGCTGTTTGGTAAGAGAAATGCATTTGCTGCAACAGAGTTATAGCAGACAATGGGGAGGAATCAGCAAGAACACCACACCTAAGAAAGCCTTTTAATCCTATTAGGAAGGTAGACCTTCAGAGCTCCCTACAGCCTTCCAAACACATGGGGGAGGCAGACTGGATGAGATCCCTCTCCTTTTACCTGGGTCTGAGTCTAGCCCCAAAACAGCTTTTGTGCCAAGTCCAAATGGAAGTCATGTGAGAGGAAAAAAACAGTAAAGCAAATGATTGTCTTTATTTCCTTAGTGTGTCCTATGTAAGTGCCAGTACGACGACCTGAGCTTTCCGGGGCCTCTCTGCCTCAGGTTCCCATCTCATCCTGCAAAGCCTTGGTAATGGATTACAGTTCTGAATGGGACCCACCAGAGACCCAAATGTAACAGTGGTCTAGGTGATACTCTTTTTCTATGGAGCCCTTTCTGAGAGCTAATCTATGTGTTTTCCCTTTTAGGAACCTCCTGGTCTTCAGCAAAGGACAAAGAGCACAATTCCAACACGCCTGACCTCCCCATCGGCAGGTCACCAGCTTGGCCTGCTTTAGGCAAACTCCCTTGGTCTGAAGAAACTCCCTTCCTCCTGCCGCTCCAGCACTGCTGTTCCTACTGACTTTTCGGCAGCGTGCACAGATCCGAGGAGAAGCCAGCCTGAAATAAGCTCAGAGCCAGCAAGGTGAGTGCTACAAGGCGCTTGCTGGGAGGGATTCTCTACTGGAGTTTGCTATGAGATGTTGTGCCTTGGCACAGCAGGGAAGGTTCATGGTGGCTTTTACATTTGCTTCTCCACCTCCCAAATGAGCTGCAATGTGTGTTTGTGGCTAATAACCGCTCAGCAAAGCTTGCAGGCTCGCTTGGGTGTGTATTGCAGTGGGAACAATTAGGGCTTCTTCAATCCTTTTGCTTCAAGTTCTGAGACAGGCTTACTCCACTGCAGTAAGAGAATGGGATTTTAAGACAGAGAAGGAGAAGAGGGATTTCTCCCTTTCAGCTCTGTTTCCAGGTTGTATCTGACTGAATTACACTTGCTGAGCCATGTGAACATTATAGCTCTAAGGAGTATATGAAACCAAATCCCATTAGGTGGGGGACCCCATATGTCTTATTGTAAAGAGCCCTACAGAAAATGTACTTTAGACTAACTAGTCTCTGCCATTGCTTGTTGCTTCTTGATCTATTTGTGGGAAACAGGAAAGCTGGGGGAGAGGATTATGTTGTGTGTGTGTGAGCGAGTAAGGGAGAAAGCAGTCCTATTAACTACTTCCTTCAGGGAGAGAAAGTGATTCTGTAGTTAAGTATTTACAGCATTTCCAAAAAGTCCAATAAAAAAACCATGGGCATTAAGTATTTCTGGAGCGCTGAGAAGTATTTGTGTATGAGCGTGTCAGTATGATACATGAAGCAGGAGGAAGGAAAAGTTTATTACTGAAGCTGACAGCAGAAAGAAGCACCAAGGAGGGACAAAGCACTCATCCACCGGGCCCAGGGCAAAGCCTGAATGGGGAAGGCTAAAGGGAACAATGTGAAATGTCAAATTCTTAGGCACACACACATGCACCTTATAATGTGTCCAGATAGATAGCAGGAAGGCAATAGTGAAAGGGAGGGAATCATTTCTTGTGAAATGATTATCCCAAGCTTTAGACAAGTTATTTCTGAACTTACTTTGTGCCCCAGTGGACTGTACACAGGCTGCTCAGGGCATCATGCTGGTGAATATCTTTCTCTCCTCTACTGTCCCATGATGGTAAATTAGTTTTTGTGCTCCTTCCCAGAGGCAATAGGATTTCAGGGACCAGGAAAACGATACTTGACTACCATGTACAGAATTCCTAATATATGCAGAATGCTTTGCGACAAAACAAATGTTAACCTACCAAAATCCCAAAGACAAAACGGTCTGCTAAAACTCCCAGTAGAGCCCAGAGGTATAATAAGAACTGAATAAAAATTAAGAAGATTCGAGTATTTGTCTCTAGTTCAAAGTGAAGGACTCCGCATCCTTTGCATAAACTGAGTAAATTCCTGTGCTGGCCACTTATAACCCATGTAAGATGAAGTTAAGAGCTAGCTGGACAGATGAACAGGTGCCAGGGCAGGGAAAGCAGTTTTTAAATCCTGAGAAATCATGAACCAGGCCCTGGAGGTTAAGGGAGAGATTAACACTCCTTCAGATAATTAAATGGAGGGACTTTCCAATCCTGGAGCCAGTTTGAAAACCAAAATCAACTCCAATTTTTTGCTGGAGGTTTGAGAGCTTTCCCTAGCCTTTTTTTTTTTTTCATTTCCAATTTTTGGTTGAAATGAGAAGCAACGAAGCCCTGTGAAGCCCTGCCTAGAGTAAGAAAAATGTGAATTTCCATTTGCTAGTGAGGCCTAGGGTTTGAGTAATCCAGTTTTCTGTGCGCTAAGCACTGTTTACACTGGGCACTAACGTAATTTTTAACATTTTGAATTAGCTGCTGTTTAACTAAAACCGCCTAGAAACAAAGCCTCAATTTATTTCCACCTAGGATTGGCTTTCCAAATACACAGGCCATATTTATACTAGAAATAAAAGTTAATACTTGTTTAAAATGTCCTAACACTTTTTAACCAACACGTTAAAATCCTGGCATAAATGAGACAAAACTATAAATCCATCACTTGTTAGCTAGCTGAAACACCTATGTCAGCCAAAACCTGTTAAAACTACAGCTTGCCATGTCTATACTAGAGTGCGTTATGCGTGTTAGCACGTCTTTTTGGCCTTAGCGAAGACAGCTTATTCCCAGCTTCTGCTGGGACCTGACATACTACAGCTCTGATGAGGAAGCCTGCCCTTTGGGATTTCCAACTAAATTTGTTGGGCAGCAAAACGCAGGGAAGCACCTGAATTCCTGGATACTTCTCCAAGTTTCAACTCTCTTGACCTATCCCTAATTCATAGGTAGCATTATTAACTTTGGAGTGACCAGTCTCCATCACCTCCTTATTTTCTTGGCTAGAATCCCCTCTCATTTTCTGACACTTTAGCGACTTGAAGCAGGGAATACAACCCCACCTAAGGCAAACACACTTGGTGAATGCATACCTTTGCAGTCTAGCTTCTCATTCAGCCTCAGTGTAAGGGACTGGTTATCCAGGCTTATTCTACCCCAAAGGGGCTGTCCGGATGCAGGCACATAGATAAATGAATCTGGAATTTGACCCCGGTTAGAAACGTCACCCTGTTACACAGACGTTAAAAAAATGTCCTAGAGCCATGAGTGGGGGAGGGAAAATAAAAGAAACACTCCTATTCCTCCAGCAGCTTCTCTGATCCCATCTCACCACAATCCACCGTTTCCTTGGCAATGGCAGTCTCAAAATAAACCCCAGCCTGCTAGGCTCAGTCCAGTGGTCCATCCATTTTCACCTTCTGCCCAAAACAAAACCATTTGAATGTGATTTGCTCACGTCCTGCTGCAGCACTGATTGACTGCCGGTGGCTTTGCCTGAAGATCAAACTAGCCGCCCGCTCCCGTTTCGTGGTCCCTGCTGTCTGGCAAGTGATCATCTTGTGTTTATTTTTAAGCTCTGTGTCGGCTTGTGGCATTAGGGGGCAGAGAACGGTTACCACTTTCTATTAATAAAACCAGGCCCTGAGGCTGAGAGGAGCTGGGGCTCTGCTACAACCCAACCTGCCTCCAACTCGTACAGAGCATTGTGGCTTCCCAGCTAGCGCCTGTCTGGAATGATTTCAGCAACCCGAGGTGCATGTCACAGCTCGTCACCTCCCCTCAGACAGACCTGCAGCAACAGAGAGGGAGTAGGAGAGCCCAGAGGGAGAGCGGCAGCCAGGGCTGAAACCACACAACACCCTTTCACTGCTCCCACTGCAGCAGCAGCGGATTTTCCTGCCTGATCCCCTGCACTGCTGGCCGCACCTCTTCTGCAGCCCCGATCTGTAGGTAAGCGCTTGTCCTCCGACTTGAGAGGCAAGGCCAGAGGCTAGGGGTGTGAAAGGGGGAATGGGGAGGAGGTGGACGGGGAGGGACATAACAACAGGAGATGCTGTGATGAGGGATCTCAGACATAATGCAATTTGCAACCGTCCAGAGCCACCTTTTCCAGCTGGGCGTGAGGAGTGGCAGGGAGTGAGGCCCACAGCATCCTCCTCCTCGCTCTACATTCTGCAGTACATTTCTTCCCAAAGCCTGCGCAGAAGAGACGGACGTAGCCATCTGGCATGCACGGCACAGGCAGTACTCTGCTTTACAGAGCAGGAGGGGAATTTTGGCCCAAAATGCTGCGGCAGCCTTTCAGAAAGTGCCTGGGGACTTTTAAAATCCACATAGAGCAAGCAGGTCCTTGGCTTCTTAGGTCTCATCTGCAAGCCACATGCACAGTAGGCTGTAGGGAAGGGAGTTTATGTAGCCCAGGAGGAGGAAAGCTGATCTTGTCAGGATGTCTACAAGTGGCTCCTGTGACTCACTGTATTTCATATATGATGCTTATACCAGTAAGTCACTCCCCACCACCCTGGTTCAATAATAAGGACCAGATTGAAGCTTCATAGTGGGATTTTTGAAAGCATTTAAGCCAGCTAGAAATGGAAATGGGAAGGAAATGGTTTTCCCAACACAGGAACATTTTTGAGGTTTGGAGAAATGTTCCCATTGTATTTGGGATAAGAAAGCAAAATCTGGAACATTTTTGTAATTGAAGATCTGAAAAATACAGTTAAAATTAAAATATTTCAGTCATATTTTTAGGTTTTTTAATTACAATGTTTTTACTGCAAAGCAACTTACGTTTTTAATAAAAAAACCCTAAACCTCTATTTAAACAAAAAAATCAAAAGGAGACATGTCTTCCAGCTGCAAAGCAAGAGAAGTGTTTAAATTGAGTGTCTCTGCAATACATCTTAGTTTTGAAAAAAAAATGCTTCATTGGAAAATTCCTACCCAGCTCTATTTAGAAGGCCAAGTTCTACTGAAAACCTCAGTTTTCAGCCTCTGCCCAAAAGCTTGCAAAGAACTTTTTTCCAACTATTCAATTGGTCTAATAAAAGATATCACATTTACCCAAATTACCTTGTCTGGCTGAAAACCACTGATATTTGGACTTCTAAATCACGTAAGCACTTCTGCAATTCACACCTGAGCAGAGATGCTGTGCAGCTATCTTCCCTTTCGGCCCTGATGCTTCAGCCACTAACCTTAAGCAAAAGGCTGTCCCTTTAGACATGCGCAGACTGTGCTGGCTGCTTCTTTCTGCCCACTTCAGAGTAGCTTGTGCTGCAGAGCAGGCTGCCAGGCAGCAGTCACTACACTCCAGAGAGTGCAGGGGTTACATTTATAGCCAGCAGGTGTATTGTGGGGACAGAGCTATAGAGGCTCACCTGTGCAGTAGGGCCGTAGTAAGCCACAACTAAGGCCCAAGGAAATGAATAACACAGGTGGATTTTCTACTGTACTGCTCTGCATTCTAGAATGGAGGTGGAAGGAAGCAAGTCTGGGGTGGGCATAGACAACATGGAATAGTTGCTGAAGGCCACAGGTGGAGACATCGCAGCAGAAAACAGAGAAAGGACATGACATGGGTGGACAGAAGAGAAAAGGGCAGCTATGAAAGGGTCATGAGGAACAGAGAGAATAGGTAAGGCAGGAATGGGAAGACCAGAATAGCAATGAGACTGGGTAGAATGGGACAAGATGGAAAGATGGAAGCCTGGAGAAGGGAGAAAAACTAGATTTACTTCTGCATTTCACCAGCCCAGGCCACAAGTCACTGCAGCAACAGCAGAAATGTATCCTTAGTAGTACAGAGCTCAGCACTGACTACTCAAGTATTCATCCAGCTTCTTGAGAGAGTTTTGCAGCTTCACAGTGTGCTCTGGGCTGCCTTGACTACAGTGCTATCAACACCCAAGCAATACTTTAAAGTTAGCAACACAGACCACCCTATGTAAGCACACACCACCAGAAGGCCACACCATTTGCTAAAAGGCCCCAGGCTTATCTTGACACCTGTCCCTTGAAACACTTATTTCCTCTGATAGCAATTTCACACAGCGCTCCAGCTCGAGCTCTGGGACCTCCTCTTCCTCCAGCAGGGAGGTACAAAGATTTCCCTGTGCACGTCTGTTTAGTTGCAAAATTTAGTAAAATTTGGAATGTGAAGTCTCCTACCCAACCATCTCATCGGCCATCCCTAGTATCCTAAGGCCAATGAAAGACCTTGTAATGATGACTAGGCTCCATCGGAGCGTCTTGGCAAGTGTGGGTGGAAGCCTCATAACATATGAGAGTACACAGGTTTTATGGAAAGATTTGCGCAAACAGAGGTCTAAAGTTTAATTGGTTTCAAAGGGCAAGACTCCACTTGGTGATGATAAGGCAGCACAATGTTTAATTGTTTTCCCTGTAATATTTGGACTAGTTCCATTTCCTCCAGGCGCACAAGTAACTGATCCAGCCATTCAGGATGCACACTGCGTTTGTGGGGCAGATTAAATCTAAATGAAATTTTGATCCACCAAAACCTCCAGCCAACACAGAACTAAGGCAGCCTGCTGGACAGACCTTCTTTCATAGCCCCACCCCAGCCCATGGGACAGACTCTCCTTCCCAGCCTCCCCAAATGGACTCTGGCCTTCCTCCCACTCCTGAGCCCTTGATCTTCCTCCCGAATGAAGCAGTTCGTTATGCAGCTGGCTTCAGTTCCTTCCATTTCATTCCCTATCAGCTGTGTACTCTTCCTGCTTCTGGGTCCTCTGATGAAGGAAGCCGAGGTGCTGAGAGCTGAGCCTGCCCTTCCTCGGTTTCTTGAATTGGGCTTTTAACTGACTGAATAATACAGACAGGGAGGCTTGCAAAGTTCTTGTAAAGTGCAAGAGAGATGGTGGAACAAGTCCTCCTAGGTCTCTCACCCACTTTCCAGTGTCCTCATTATGCTTCCAACTCTATTCTTTTATTCACATTACTGTAATGTTACCACCTAGGTTGCTAGCCAGTACCCATTGCTGGGATTCAAAGCCTTCACAATTATAACTTGTTCTATATTCTCACTGCAGGGACTAGAAACCATGCTCCCCTCTGAGATATTTATGATTTCATTAAGCATATGAGTTCCCTCAGAAAAGGGAAGGAGCAAATTGGTCCACACTGAAACAGGAGTGAAGGGACCACTGCGAAGAAAGGGAAGGGATAAACAGAATTTGCCTTTGAATGCAATTTGAGCGAGGGTTAGGTCAGCCATCGCTAATACTATTTGTCTGTGTGAAGCGGTGTGCATTTAATCGGAGCCTCTGGTATTCAGAATCAGGCTGCCTCCACTTTGTTTACTTGAGTTTGGTGCCAAATGCCCTGGGGTATAATTTCTGTTGTAGTGTAGTAATGCGTGCACAGGCTGTGCTGTTCTCTCAGACAAAGCACAGCACCCAGCTTTGTGCTGAAATCAGAGAGTCAAGTTTGCCTGGCTGATGCCCCCTCGCTCCAAACTTGCTTGCTGGTTATCAGTGATGCAACAGGAGCTACAACTGAGAAGTTGCTTTTTTGCCATTTAAAGTGCTTTATTGCTGTGACTTAACAGTAGCGCATGGCTTTACAGCACTTTAAAAATGGCTACAGCACTTTAAATTAACCCTTGTTACATGTGAGGTATTAAATCTGAAGCACTGTTTTACAGCACCTTAGCAACCTACAGCATTTTAAATAACTTCTATGTGCCAGTCAAATTTCTGGCAATTCCACCAGTATCCCATGGGCTTTGCAAGCTTGGTTAGTGCTCCCTGGCACCACCATAGCTACCTGGAGCACTAGCCAAGCCTGCAAAAGCCAACAACCCACCCTGCTCCTGCCAGCTGACTCAGATGGCAGCAATTGGGCCAGACAGGATTGGGGGCAAGGGGAAAGTTGTATCCCAGCTCCCAGAAGCCTGGCTCGCTCTGCAGCCAGAGGGGCTGGCTCTGTGCTGGGGGCCCCCAGGCCCTGTGGAGCTCTTGTCACCCCAGAAGCCACGTAGGTGACCAGCAGGGCTTGCAGCCAGGGCAGGCTCTGGGCTGGGCAGCACTGGGGGAAAAGAGGTTGGTTCAGCTCTGTGTAGCCCAGATTGGAGGGGAGCATTGGCACTGGCTCCATGCCATCCTGCATGGCTGGGGACCTGCTCCCTCTTGGTATGGCACAGTTGGGAAGGTCTCTGCAGTCCTGGATGAGTCAGAGAAGCGTGGGGGCTCGGCAAGTGTGTGGGAGGAAAATTCATCAAACCCCCACAGACCATGGAGCCCCAGAGCAGCCATGGCTGGGAGCCTTGCACAGCGTCCGGCACCTGGGCACTGCCTGGGGGATCCGGGGCTGGAATGGTACCTCTTCCCCACTACTGACCCCCCTTTCCCTCTCTGTGCCCCAGCTCTGTGTCCAGCTCCACCTTCTCCACCGGTCTGCTGCTGTCTGCGGTCTCCTGCAGCCTCAGGAGGCTGCAAAGCATCCCCTGCCTCCTAGCCTGGAAAGTGTAGGGAGGCTCAGAGTTCCCCCCACCAAACACTGCACTTCTGTCATGTTTAAGAGTGCTGTAACTTCATAGTGCCATAAAAAGTGGTCTAAATTATAGCACTGTAAAATGTACACAGAGCACTTCTTTACGTACCCTAAAATGTTAAAATTTGCTGTTCTATAGACTTTTTCCTGAGCAGAAGAGTTTACTGTCTAGATTAAGCTCCAAGTTATAACTTCAGTTAGGAAGCAATAAGTAGTAATAATTGTCAGCTGTAGGTTGACACAAGTCCGCTCTAATTCCTCTCTTGGCTGGGGATCAGGGCTGGCTGTCTGATGGACTGGTTTCAGTTCGTGCCATTTGCAACCATATGGAATCTGGTGCAAATGAATTGCTCACACTTCCATCTTTCCAAGAGACTGTTAGTTTTAACTCATATAGTAATCCAAGCTGTAACCATCCTATCCCGTGATGTCTGTAGCCAGGCTGCTAGGAGTGCTGAAAGCATAGCCATTATTCATTTGTAGGTGCTATATGACTTCTTAATGCTACTTCTAAGTCAGTTTTTATCTGCAAGCACGTATGTGCCTGAATTTGACCAAACTTGTGAAGTCCTATGTGCAGCAGAACACTACTGCTTTTTTGGGCTGCTTGTATTGCAGGATGCCAGTTACAAAGCATTTAACCGAGGACAGGATTTTAGCTGCTTAATAATATTCATACTTTATGTGAATCAACTGGAAACCTTCACAAAATCTTCAAATTGAAGATTTTTGGAGGGTTGAAATAGTTTTAGTAACATTTATTAAAAGTTATTTTTCACTTGCTTAGTGCTTCTGCAGCAGTGGGTATTGTACAGGTCTGGAACAGAAAGGCCAAGAGAGTGCTCCTTTGCTGGCATTTCCAGTGCGACTGGAAGTGTTGGAGTCCCTGCCCGTTCTACTTGCACTGACATTCTCCACTCAGCTGCTAATTAGAGCTTCATCAACTTACCACTTTATGGATCTGACCCTCCAGGCATTTGGATGATTTGGACATACATTTTAGTCCCTTATCTAGCCCATGCTAGATTTGAGCTATGCAGCTCCCTGGTTTAGATCCACGCACAGGTTAGGCTGGATAACTTTGCTGGAGAAAGGAGTCAGTGAAATTTTGTGCCAGTTGCTTTCTTGTAGGGCTATAGATGTGACAAGTTTCACCGGGACAAGTTTCACTCTGCACCAACATCTTGGCCACATGTATCACATCCCGTGCAATACTGGAAAGACACAAGGAGAAGCCACCATGATGCTTTATTTCCAGTGCTCTGCATACTACTCTTATAAGACTGGCTTTGGTTACAAATTGGCAGACTGTTAAATCATGTTAGGAGTCCCTTCTGGGCTAAAATAAATCACCCCTCCTGAGTGCAGAGCATGGGGCCTTGTGAGAAGTCACATTACCCCAGTGTCCTTGAGTGACAGGCCTCCTAAACAAACATGTTTTTGATCTAACTGGACTGGACAGGAGTGGAAGGGGAATCTTTTGCAACGTTTTAAAAACCTCCACATCCAAAGGTGAAGTGTAGGTATCTCTTTAAAGGCAAAGGGAATTACGTTTCCTTTTGATTAACAGAATAGACGTGGTCAGCTGTGACTCAGATACAGTCCCTTTAAAGCAGAACTACTGAGATCCTCCCATGCACACCAGGCCTGCCAAGCCTCGAGTTCAGAGGGTCATGTTTTGCTATATAACAGCAGCTGAGGTCACTAACACCTCGTCCAGCTTCCCACTCAGGTTTAGGTGTCAGCAATGACATCAGCTGTTGCAGAAGAAACACAGAACTGTGAACTCTGGTGCTGGGAGGTGAAAGCCTCGGTGTCTACCCATGAGAAGTAGCTTAAGTGTAGCTCTCAACCCCATGAAAGAGCTCCACACAGCAGGGGATCCAGTTGCAGCACTGTCCCTGAATTTCGATACGGTTACTTTATGAAGCATGCATGAATCAAGGGGAGGAAGTCATTTATGTGGACAAAATGATGGGAACTCATGCATATTACAGAAACTGATACTGCAGTATTATTTCTATTGAGCAGGAAACGAAACTATCACAAGAGAGTTGTTTTCTTCCAACTCCGTTCACAGTATATGGCATGTTATCCATCATGAGTGTGGGTGTTGGAAAGAGTTGTAGGCCAGCCTTCGTATTACATACAATAGCCTCACAGCAACCTCACAGCAATGCTTATGAGACATAACCTTGAGGTCCTGACCATGGATAGTCATTAAAGATCCCAGAGCACTTTTCATAAAAGTGAGGGTGTTAGCTGAAGCTGTATCTTGGTTAAAGTCCAAATATGGATAATTATACTCCAACTCGTGCAGATCCAGCTGGCTAGCACAGCCTTCATTTAGTCTTCTCAACAGCTATATGCTGTTTCAACAGCTGTATCGTTCCACCCCAGCAATGGCTGCATTTCAGGGATACCAGTGGTTTTGATGGTTACATTATAGTCATCTTTGAGTCATCACTCACTACAGAATTCCACAGCAGAAGGAATTACAGGAGCTAATATAAAAAAACTTGTATCTTTTTCTAAGTTGGGGACTAGAAATCAAAGGGGTAGTGAGGAAGAATGGAGAAAGGTGGGGTCTAGAGATGGATGTAAACCAAAAACACTCCCAAGTTATTTCTTACTTGTATTACAATATCACCTTGAAGTGCCAAGCACAACTGGGACTGCATTTGATAGGCACTATGCGGGCACATAGTAAAAGACAATCCTGGCCACAAAGAATATACAATCAAAATAGACAAGAGGGAGAAAGGAAGAAGCTGGATGCACCTTTCACAAAAGAGGAGCTATCACATAGAGTTTAAATGGAACAGAAGTCTGGCAGAACTGAGAATTAAACCAAAGTTCCTATATTAAAGCCAGCCCCTTGACTACATGATTATTTGTTCAAGTTCAGCCCTGGATCAGAGCTTTGACAGTGTGGACCTACCAGATGTAAGCCAAAGACTGGCTGAATGTCAGTATATGTGCACCAACCTATGTTTGAAAGTCAAAGAGGGGCATCTACATGTGTGCTTTACTGCAGTTGACTAATTAGCTCCACAGTAAAGTGTCACTGTTTACACGTGTGGCAATATTAGGCCGGAGTAAATTAATTAACTCTGCCATAGGATAGTACTGCCAGACACAAATACTGTCCTACGATGGAGTTATTTAGTGCACCACAGCACGCATGTAACTGGTGACTGGGGCTGGTTGGGGCACAAGGGTGCTCAAGTGCAGGGGCTGCCTGTCACCTAGCCCTACCTTGTGCCCCAGCCATCCCCTCCATAGCATGTTGAGCTAGGGCAGAACAGCTGCCAGCTGGCAGGCTAACCCCCAGGGTCCCTAGCCAGCTGGGGCTGTAGCACCTCGGCTCAATGTGAGGCAGTCCCGGGTGCATGTGTAAGCGCTTCACTCAGGAGCAATAAACTCCGGCACAAACTGCACTGGAGTTTATTCAGTTGTGCTAATTTCATGTGTAGATGTACCCAGAGAGACTCAGAGCTGTCAGAGTCCAAAGTAGTACACTTACATGATAATTATGTCTTCTTAATGCAGTGCAAGTCATACAGTAACCTTGACTAGGTGTGAGCTTGCTTGAATTTTGAAAGCCAGGAGAGTTTGTTACGTATGCAAAAACATATTTAGTTGGCATGAACCAAAGGTTTTTTCTTTTCCCAGAGGATGAATAGTGGTTACCAGGCTCATAGGCGACGTCTAGAGGGTGCACGTGCACCCCCTGAGAGCACTGGTGCCCCCCCGAGAGCGACTGCTCTTGGCTTAGGCGATGGGCAGCGGGAGCAGGGGGAGCGCTGGTGCCCCCCCCCCCCCCCC